GCGGCGGCGTTGGCGTTGACGAAGGAGGCCAAGCGCCCCGGAGGACGGGTGGTGGAGGCCCACCTGATCAGCGCCAAGACGGGCTTCGGGGTGGAGGAGCTCATCTCTAGGCTGCAGCGCTCCTGGAAGTTCAACGGAGACGTCTTCCTGGTGGGAGCCACCAACACGGGGAAGTCGACCCTCTTCAACGCCCTCCTCCACTCGGACTACTGCAAGTCCAGGGCCTCCGAGGCCATCCACAGGGCCACCGTCTCCCCTTGGCCCGGTCAGAGCAACAGTAGTAGCAAGTACAATGTGAAGTCCAAGGCTTTCATGGCCGCCATCTGTGGGGTTTTTGTGGGTTTTTCAGGCTGTGTGGCCGTGTTCTTGAAGACCTTATTCCTGACCTTTCGCCTGCATCTGTGGCTGGCATCTTCAGAGAATGGTGGCATGGAGGTGTGTGGGGCTTCATTTATATACCGCTTCATATCGCGCATGGGATGTCTAAGCGGTTTACAACTGTAAGCTCATTGCCCCCAACAGTTGGGTACTCATTTTAGCGACCTCGGAAGGATGCAGGCCTGAGTCGAGCCTCAGCCCTGGCTGGTATTGAACTTGCAACCTTGTGGTCTATGAGTGAGCGGCTGCAGTACAGGCATTTAACCACTGTGCCACCAGTGTGTCCCTGGTTGGGAGTATATACTGTGTGTCCCTGGTTGAGAGGAAGTGATATTTGTTGGCCTGTTGTTCTCCACCTCTGTCTATCTTCGGTTAGCCAGAGGGCCTTCTCCACCGCTGCTCCAAAATTGTGGAATGACCTACCGGAGGAGATCTGTCACATCTCTACTCTTACAGCCTTTAAAAAAGCTCTTAAGACGGATCTCTTCCGGCAGGCCTTCCCAACATAACTCCTCTCCCGCAAAAGGTGATCTACGTCGCTCTATCCACCAATTATCTCCCCTTTTTAAAAATATTTTTGTATTTTTTCTCTTAAATTATGATTCTTTATTGTAATTTTAGTATTGAGTTGGGGAGGGTTGAGAAGGGACTAATTTTGAATTTTATTGTATTCCATGCACTTCTGTTGCTGTAACCCGCCCGGGTTCCTTGTGATTGGGCAGGTTATAAATAAATAATTTATTATTATCATCATCATCATCCATGGGGAGAGATGAGTAAGAAATAAATATTATTATTATCAGTTGAAGGAGGAGGAAGGGGCTTAAACAGGTAGGTAGGAAGCAAAAGGCCTAGGTTGGGAGGAGCAATTTACATGTTAATCTGTGTGTTCTGTTGAATGGCAAGGCCTCAGGGTGGGAGAATATGTGAGGAGGATTTGTGTCTATTTAATTAGTGATCCATTGTCTGCTGGGAAAACCCCTGACCTTGGGTGGTTTTCATTTGCATTTTGCTAGGTCCTGGTTTTGGTGTTTTTCAGGACAATGAATCACTAATTAATCTAGCAGACAATGGATCACAGTGGACCCAACCTCATTTCCATGCCAGCATCCAGTATTCTCTGAAGATGCCAGCCACAGATGCTGGCAAAATGTCAGGAAAAACTCTTCCAGAACATGGCCACATAGCTAGAAAAACCCACAAAAAAAACAATTGCAAGTACGGGCCTTTGCAGACTGCCAGAAATAGTGCACATAAATTGAGGCACTGCCCTGGCTCAGTGCTAGGGAGTCATGGGAATTATATTTTTTTCTGAGACATTGAGCCTTCTCTGTCAGAGAGCTCTGGTGCCACAATAAATTACAGTTTCCATGATTCCCTAGCACTGAGCCAGGGCAGTGCCTCAATTTAATGTGCACTATTTCTGGCAGTCTGCAAAGGCCCTACATTTCTATACCACTTATCAGTGACTTCAGCACTCTCCTAAGTGGTTTGCTCTCGCCCCTCCACATTTGTGGCTTTAACTATTCACAGATTTTATTCATATGTTCTCTCTAGGAATAATTAGGTCTTCCAGTGCAACTCTGTGGTCAACTTTAACCAAAAGTTGCACTGAAGGACCTAGAGATCCCTAGAGGGAACAATCCACTAGGAATTTGTAGCTCCTCCAGTGCAATTCTATGGTCAATGTCTGGCAGATGTTGACCACAGAGTTCCACTGGAGGACCTAGAGATTCCTAGAGGGGTGTTCTTTCAGGTAAAAACATAGTGTTTTTGTTATTTGTGGTTTTCCCACATTCACGGGCCCTGTGTCCCTAACTCCAGAGAATGTGTGGAGTGACAAGTGTACAGTGTTTTAAGCCACTTGCCCCTGACAAGCTGGGTACTCATTTTACTGACCTACAAAAGGATGGAAGGCTGAGTCAACCTTGGAGCCCTCTTGGATCTCACAACCTTGTGGCTGCAGTACTGGTATTTAACCACTGCTTCACCAGGGCTCCTTTTTCTTGCTAGTTATTATGTTCTTGTTTCTTTTCCTAAAGGGGAAAAATCCCATTTTGGAAGCTAAGCAGAGTCAGTTCTGATTAGTACACCAAGGAATACCACATTCTGTAGGTTATATTTCAGAGGAAGGAACTGCCAAAACCACTTATGAGTACTCATTTTAGTGACCTATGAAAAGATGCCAGGTTGAGTCGACCCTGGAGCATTGAATTCACAACCTTGTGGCTATGAGAGGCTGCAGTACCAGCATTTAACCACTGTGCCACCAAGACTCCACAATAATAAATAATAATAACTATAATCATAATAATAGAGCAAGAACAAGAATAATTCTTAGTTTGTAAAAAAAGATAAAAAGAATTGGGAATGGAAAAGTTAAAGAGCTTAATCAATTTCAGCTACATGATAATTATTTGAAAATCTAATAGCAATAGCATACTATTTAGGTAATTTTATATCTATGAGACTCAATGGTTAGTAAAAGGATGGTGAATATTCAATAATATCCAAGAGTAATTAGGAAGTTTATTTTTATGTTTTCATTCGTTTTGGGGATTTTTGTGTTGCGTTGAGCTGTTAATGTTGATAGTGTTAATGTTAGTGATATAATAAATCGCTGTGCTTGGTGTCTTTCTGTGTAAGTTGTCATTTTAAGATTAATTAATTATAATAATAATAATAATAATAATTTTATTTATTTCCTGCCTCTCCTCAAGGCAGGGTTTGTTGTTGTCATTTTGGACTCATGGCGACCTTCAGGTGGACCTATCATAGGGTTTTCTTGGCAAGTTTCTTCGGAGGGGGTTGCCATTGCCTTCCCCCAAGGCTGAGAGAGTGTGATTCACCCAGTGAGTTTTCATGGCTGAGTGAAGAATCAAACCCCAGTCTCCAGAGTCATGGTCCAATACTCAAACAGCTACACCATGTTGGCTCCCCTGTTTGAAATAATATGCTATTTATTCTTCCAGGCTCTTCACGGAGTCTCTGCTCCTGTGCATTTATGACTGAGGCTGCGTCGACACTGCAGAGATAACCCAATCTGACACCACTTTAACTACCATAGCTCCATCCTGTGGAATCTTGGGGATGTGTAGTTTATTGTGGCACCAGAGCTGTCTATCAGAGAACGCTAAATGTCTCAAAAAAACTGTAGTTCCCAGAATTCCATAGCATGGAGCCATGGCAGTTAAAATAGTGTCAAACCAGATTATTTCTGCAGTGCAGATGCAGCCTGAGTGCCCTAGTGTGCTTTCAGACATACTTGAGTTGACCCAGAAAAGACCAGTGCCTGCTACTTGTTCCCAACAATTTATACAGCTGTGGGCTGGCCTTGATGAGTTTGCTGTTAGATTTCACTGTTGTATCGTCCACACTATGAGAGCCAGAGTGGCATAGTGGTTTTAGTGCTGGACTGTGGAGACCAGGGTTCAATTCCCAGCTCAGCCATGAAACCCATTGGG